CTTGTCAAAAACTATTTATTTTTAATTATTTATGACATTCAAATGAAAATAAATTTAAATACACAAATTATTGCAAAGGTAAATTTTCAAACACACTGCGCGATTAAAATAGTAAAAATGTTGTCACCACGTGCGTAAAAATTTCGACGATTTATATTGAAACCTAACCAAAAAAGTCTGAAAGAATTGACTAATATAATTAAATAGTTTACTTTCTAAAACATGGACTATCTATATTTCCAGAGGTATGTAAGAACTTCATTTTATGTTCAAAGAATAGACGCGAGTAATGATAAAAAATCGTTTTACGGAATCACGATAAATGACGCGATAGATATTTTGTTACATCCCGAGCGGAAAGCGAGGTTATTTTAAATTTTAATTATTATTTATTTTATTTCGGAGGAATGGTAGGCTGATTAAGTCAAGTTGGTAAAGCTTAACTATTTATTTTTATGTAAGTACGTTGTTTTCTAACGATCCTACGGGGGTCGTCTTACAATTATTTCAAATTTAATTGTTAGATAATTACTTTTTCTTTAGCATTTTAAGAATTTGTTTAAAATATAAACGGTACTTACAATTACCTCTGTTCAGAGGGCAGATACAAAGATGATATTTTGACCAGGAATATAATTCTTATAGTCGTTGACACTGTGAGGTTTTACAACTCTTAAAAAAGAACGGTCGGGATTTGTCACAGTTTTTAGTTCTTATTTTCCGAAAGCACACACGTCACGTTTGCAATTCGTATCTCGAAAATAGACTAGGTTACGACGGATAATCTATTATTTAATTTTGAGAATACCGACTCACAAGTCTGGCGATAATAAATACTTGCTCAATATTTTAGAACAACGAGTAAACTTTATACTGTTTGAAAATGCAAGGTTTACGGCCAAAATTATGATTACCGAAGGGTCAAGCTTAAAGATGAAGTTGTCACGACGCGAACGTAACGATGACTTTGTATCGAAATAAACTGACGGATGACAATGGATTTGCATGGGGTTTTATAGTAGCAAAACTTCCCTAGTGGGAGACAAAAGATCACCCCTATCTCTAAGCTTGATTCCTAGATCATCCCAAGAATTGAGTCACTTCTTGGAGCTTTGTGACCACCTGCATCATATATATAGTATATCGCGGGTATCACTATTTCATGGGACAGTAAACATTCCCGGGAAGAAAACTAAGCTCGTGCCTTCACAACATACTAATATGAGTCAAGTCCACTCATAATACATATATAATTTCATTTATAATTCATATGGGTGTGCATCTAAATATCGAATCGCATAGCTTCAGTTCTATGAAGATTAAGATAATAACTTTGTATTTTGTCAATCATGAGGATCGATATACAGATGAACTATTTCGAAAAACATTCTATACTCTATGCAGCTGCAAAATAATTCTTAGAAGGTAATGCATAGAGAATAGAAAGATACATTTATTGTTTAATATTAATTTTAAAATAAGAGTATTGCATAAGAAATAATCAGCCAATTAAATATTATTTCATATTTAATTATTATTATTCTATCTCAAAATTTTGTAATTATATTTATTTAAAGGTTTATTTTAATTTTGATAAATTATTAAAAGTAATAATATAAATTCTCTAATATTTTTCTTATTTATTTTATATCTATTGGTTTTCTTTTTGTTATATTTATTTCAAACGCACACGGAAAAAAATTTCTTATAGAAAACAAACTTTTTCGTAAAATATACAAATAGGTTAAGTTGTGCTTTATACAGGCGAGTTTTGTGTTTCCAACAAGCTGGTTTGTGTGTACCACAAACCAATCTGTTATAACACCAAGAAATCCACGCATGCGCGAGAAAATTCAAGTGAACGTCTACTTTTCGTCTGCTGCGTGACTGTTTAAGCTGTTGAATCATAAACTGAAGTTTGTGACAAGACTCATTCTGGTTTGTGTATTTCCCAAACTCAGCCGTTTGTGGATACTACAACCGCCGTTCATAGATGGCACAGGAAATCTTGTAGTTTTTACAGGAAATTTTTTTCCGTGCAATAACTCTATTCTTGATATTTTACATACGTGATCATCAACAATGATTCATTGATAATGTCTTAAATTTCAAAAAGGGAATTTTGTTACTGGGATGTAACAATTTAGTGCTAGTTTCTTACAAAAAATTTTGAAAAAAATTAATCGATACATACATTGTTAAAAATAAAATTTTATTTAAAAAATTTTAAAAACTTATCGTAAATTATTTAAAAAATTTTTTAAATTATTTTTATTGAAAACTACGCATACAACAAAACTTTTCATTATAAAGACGTCCAATTTGATTAATTTTTGACCGAGTTATAAGCATTTAAAAAAATTTACGTAAAAAACGTCATTTTTCAAAAATCTGTATCTTCTGAACCGCTTTATGAAAAAATTTGAAAAAAATCAAGGTAGCTCATTTCAAAGAGTACTAAAAGAAAAAAAAATATTTAAAAAAATTTGGTGATGCAAAAGCAAAATAATTTCCGATTTGGCGTGGAATGCCCCATATACACGGAAAGAAAAGGTCTGGAAGAGATATCCATAAATATATTGTTAAGTAGAATATTGTTGTGTTATCCAATTCAATGGAAGAGACAACTTTCAGAATGGAAGCACATTCCATATTCAATGGATGAGGGAGCCATATTATATTGTTGACTCAAATATGGATGTGACATCCATAGGCATGGTTGGGCTTACAATTCATGCTGTGGATTTTCACATATGGCTGCCTCATCCATATAAACTTTGGTTGGGAGATCCATAGTTAGTTCAAAATTTCGATACATGTTGCGCGCAATTCATTATCATGGCATCCATTTAAAAATGGTCGTCTCAATTTGTCCGTCGCGTCGGTTTCCTGTCACGTCTATATAATCGCGTTGTGAGTTTATTGTGTATAAATAGTGTTACAATTGTTTATTATTTATTATCGTTATTGTCTATTTGTGTTTATGTAAATTCATTTTCATGAAATATGTGTAGAGTATATAAGGAATATTATATGCTCAAATATTGTAGTTGCGTGTATAGTGTAGTGGATAGCGTTAGTGTTTAGTATGCGTTAGGTCTAGGGTTCGTGTCTCCCCCCATCGGTTAATAATTTATTTCGTAAATATGCGGTTATTCAATAAGTGGTGTGTATTAATTAACAAAAATGTGTATAAAATATCTCAAGTGACATGGAATTTAATTAATTGAGTGATTCAAATTTTTTGTTTCCCATTTCCATTACTATGGATCACCCAACCATAGATCTTTTGCTGCTCCAACAATATACAGCCAGCCATAGAATATGGATGCAGCAACCTTAACTATGGATATCCCGTATTTTTCAATATAATATGGCTGTGATATCCATGTATCTGGATGTGTCAACTATTCCTTTTTCTCCGTGTACATCTACACGGAAAAAAATGGTTAGCCTATTATAACCAGACTGAGTTTGGTTGACTGAATGGAGGTTGTTTGAAACAAGTGAATAGTTGTGTTAACCCAAGAGATTTAGTTTTTAGGACGGAACTTGAATGGTTATATTAGTGTGACTATTGGAACCAAATGTTCGTTTATGACCACCAAACTGTTACTAGCAAAGCAGTTTCTTCTATCCCCACTACTTAAGAAGTGGAACTTAGAAAATTTTTCCACAATTTATTCTTTAAGCAATTTGAACTTAGAAAATTTTTCCACAATTTATTCTTTAAGCAATTTGAACTTAGAAAATTTTTTCACAATTTATTCTTTAAGCAATTTGTACTTAGAAAATTTTCCACAATTTATTCTTTAAGCAATTTGAACTTAGAAAATTTTTCAACAATTTATTTTTTAAGCAATTTGAACTTAGAACTATTTTATAAATTCAAGAATAGAATACCTATATTTAAACCAACACGGAAAAAATCTTGGGTGACGTGCAATCCCAATCGTCGGAAAGTGGAGGAACTATAGTTTGGATGTGCTACGTTCTCAATTCGGGAAATCTACGTTCCCATGTTGGTGGCGCTGAACACCCAAGATTTGAGACTCAAAACCTTGGGACTGCAATAGCCGCATCTTGGGCGTTCAGCACGCCCAAGTTGGAAATGCAGCTCCTCCAAACTAAAGTCGTATCGCATTCGTACATTTTCGGTCTACTTGGAACGGCACGTCACCCAAGATTTTTTCCGTGAATAAAATTGTTATTACTATTATTTTTATTTTTAAGGATAAAATGAATTAAAATGTACTCTCAATATATAAAAAATGGTAAATATTTCACTAACTTTAACAAGCGTATATACGTATGTGTATAGCCTGAAAGGTTTTGAAGCTTTGGTAACAAAGAATTTTGAATTAAAAACTGATAAAACAGTATTACATTTTATGAATATATACCTACATATGTATGTATATTTATAATATATAATTTAAAAAAATAAATATATCTATTTATTTTATATACAGTAATAAACAAAAAAATTTAATTTATATTTTTTTATAACTATAATCTTTTTCCCTCATTGTGTGTCACGTTTTGGATAGTAACAATGGTTAAACTTTTATGATACTTTTTGGGCTGGTTAACATGGGACCGTTGACATCTGGAAGCAATTTCAGCGCTGTATTTAACGCGCTTGGGACCGGTTGACCGAGCGTAGTTCAAATTTCAGAATTTTTTTTTGCAAGGGTTTTTAGATCTTTGAATTTTTTTAAATATGGAAAAATGAAAATGCAATGTTGTCAAATGCTTTCCTTTTTCAACGTTGTCAAGTCTTTTTCTGATTTTCGGCTATAGGACAAAAGCATTTTCAGTCTTCAGGATTTACTCTTACAGTAATCTTGTTCTTAAAAGTGGAAAGTGTTGTGAGTTTGTGAATTTGTGAAGTGCAATTTCTGGATTAATTTGATATTGCATTTTTTATATTGGAAATAAAAGAATATAAATAATATAATATTTAATATTCTTATATACTATTAAATAAATTTATTATATTCAACTGTAATAATGAGTTACAAACTTTTGCTTTGTGAATGGGGTTTGGAAAAATACATTGAAAAATTTGAAGGTAAGAGATTTTTTCAACAAATTTATAAACAAAAAGTTAAATTTCACATTTTCTTCTTTATCAGAAAGAAGCTTTAATAAGTAAAAAGCTTTTTTCAATAAAATACAATTAGTATACTGGGATATTAGTATAATGTTTAATGCAAGTAGTGTACAAAGGTTTGTCCCAATAAAAAGAAAGTCTTATTGTAAATTAGAATTAGAGTCGAGCGCGCGGACGAACGCTTTAATGTCAGTCTGGGAGCAGTGAGCGCCTCTGCGCCTACCACTGCTACCTGACTGGTATTAGCGCGTGCGTTCGCGCGCTTAGCGAGTTCTTCTTTTGGGCTTCTCAATTAATAAAAATAAATAAATCACTATTTTATAATTATTATAAAAATATTGTTAGCATTACTTCTTCAAAATTATTTTTATCATTTCAATTCAATTAATACTTTTTATTATTTTTAACTAAAATTCTTCTTTAATTAAATTAATTTTAAAAAAGTTCTTTAAGAATTGTCACATCCATGTGTTTATAATTCAATTTTATGGAATTTCGATTATTTGGAAATTTTTTAATTAATTTAATTACGGACCAAAAATGAAAAATTACGGACCATTTACGGATCAATTACCGACAAGAATATAACCAGTCCGAGTCAAATAAAAGAACATTTTAACTTAAAATTACAAATTAAATTTTTAATAACTATAAAACATGAAGATATCAATAACTATAAGTCGAAGACTCGGAGTAATCGTTTCTTCATGTTCTATAATAATTAAAGATGACTGAGATTATAAAATCAATACCAATTCAATTATTATTTTTAAGAATAAAAGAATTAAAGTTTTTCACAAGAATTAATTTTAAATTCAATTATTTCTAAAAATTCATGCTTTTAATATTTAATTATTATCTAAAATCTTTAACTAAAATTCAATTTTAATTTAATTTTTATTAGAAAGTTTTACTAGAATTCAATTACTTAAAAACAAAAATAAATAATTTATTGAATAATTGAATGTTTCTTAAAATTCAATTCCCTTAAAGAATTTCATCAACAATTTTTTAAATAATTGAATTCTTTCGACGAATTTTAATAAAATTTTTATGAATAATTCCATTTTTGAGAAATTCGATTTAAATTGTATTAAAAATAATATAATTTCCGCGATGAGTTTTATTATTTATAAAAATAATTGAATCTCTGTAAAATATATTATTATTTATGAATATAATTGAAGAGTTGGATGCTATAATGTGTTACGCGCCATGGTAAGTGAATGGCGCGTAACACATTATAGCATCCAACCCCTCAACTGAATTATTGTGAATAATTTTATTAAAATTTTATAAATAATATAATCCCTGTATATAATAAAAAAATTTATAAAATTTATAAAAATTTGTAAATAATTGAAATTCTGTGAAATTTAATTAAAAATTAATTAATTAATTAATTTTTTTTTAATTTAATTTAATTTTTAATTAATTTTTTTAATTTAATTTTTATTTTTAATTATGTGAAATTTTTTTTTCTTTATGAAAATAATTAAATGTTTACGTAGCATTTTATCAAAAAAAATTTTAAATAATTAAATTCTTTTGAAAAATTTTACTAAAATAGATAGTAAAAATCATTACAATATTACATTACAATATTACAATTTTTAATAAGCGTTTTTTAATTAGATGAAGAAATCGATGATGAATCTTTCCCATTTTTGGAAAAGGAAAAAATTTCTGACTTATTTCCTAAAGTGGGACCTTACTCTAAATTTATAAGGTTATACAATAATTGGATTCACGATAAAGAAAATAATGAACCGGCTTCAACACCTGTATGTACACTACTTAATTTAATAAAAAAAATTATTGTAAACTATTTAAAGATGAAGATAAATAAATCATTACTGTTTTCTAAATTTATTTTTCAAATGATTAAAGGTCAATAATGCATTACAATTAAAAAGTGATATTGAAGGAACCTATGAGATTGGTCCTGATGGACAATTAGAAGAAGTATACAACCCTCAAGATTCAAATTCGGAAAGAAACGAATTGGAAGATTTTACATTAGAAGAGGAAGTGCAAAATACTTTGAAAGCGGAAAAACGTTCTGCAAATGTAACAACGGTTGTTCCTGAAAAAAGAAGAAAAGTTAGTTCCGATTCTACTCATCATTCTATTATTAAAGAGGTAATAATTTTTTTGTTCAGATTAATGTTGTTATTGTCCTATCGTTGTTTATGTTATTGTTTTATGAACATGTAGTAAACATTTTTTATTTTGTTGTAGGGTCCAATCTACGAATGTCTTATTAATAACATTCGTGGGAATTTGGCAATTGCGGAGTATGAATCGAAAGGATTCTTAAGGTCAAGAACACAGCAAATTGTTGCAGAGTGTGTTCTTTCACAGGAATTCAAAGGAGATATTTGGAAACAGTATGTAAAAAATTATTTAAAAAGTAACAAATATTACGTCCATATAACTCTATTTCTTTTTTACAGGATACATCGAGAACAATTTTTGAAACTTTCTGAGGGCATCGAATTGCTTTTTCCTTCTGAAAATAAGGTATATATATTATAGTATTCTTTATTACATCCATATTTAATGACATAAAAATCTCGTCTTATCAACATTTTTTGATTTCAGGAAACATACTATATACCGTATTATAAAAATGAAGCTGGGAAAAAGTATAGTGCTTCTGGAAAACTAGTGGACTTGTTCTATAATATAAGAAAAAGAGCTGTTCGTTCTGGGATTCAATCTTCCAGAAAAAACTCAAGTCAAAAATCTACTGATAATGATGCTCTGACTAATGCCGTTACTCCAGATGCAGATACTTTAAATAAAATTAATTCTCTTTCAATAACATGCATACCATGGCAAGATTGCATTGAAAAGTGGCGAGACACTCACGATTATCGAATGACGGAAATTCGTTCAACTGCAACTGTAACTTCAAAAACGAAAGGAGGAAAAGAGAAGACTACAATTTCTAATAAAGTTACATTCTATATTACAAAGTATAGAGGAATAAAGGAGGCTTTAGGTTACACTTTGGTGAGTGGCAATTGATTTTCAAATTTTCAAAGATATTTAGAATAAGCTTATCGCTTTTACTGATAATTAAAGGATTGTTTTCTCTTTTTCTATTTCATGTAAATAATTTGTAATTCTTTTGACAGCTTGAATTGGATTACTCTATGTTGTACCCAGGAACTGAAGAAAACTTATTGTTTTTATGGCCATCTTTTAAAAGCAAACTTCTCTCGGTATTTCAACGTGATAACAGCAATTTGTTTAAATCAAACAGTAATGGTTAGTTAAATTTTAAACTAACTTTTACATTAATAAAGATGCAATTTTAACTAATTTGTTATTTTTATAATTTGTAGATGAAATAAGCGATGCTCAATTACTAATGAAATTGTGTATGCTAGTTAAACCAAAATTAATTAATGATGGTGATGAAAGCTGGAAACCCACAAGAGAAGTCATTCAAGAAGGATTTTTGATACATGTGATTGTAAGTAATTAAATTATTTAATTATCAATAGTGTTTAAATTACATTTTAAAATACATATTTCTTTTTTATAGAGTGCTAGTGACATAAAATCGGCCATTAAGAGAGTAAGAGACAGAGCAACAGCAAGAAAAGAGACAACTCAGCCTTTTGCCGTGATTGTAGGAGAAGATTTACACAATATAACTGAGTGTTATATCTCAGTAGACAACATCTTATATAACGTAGATTCCCCTGTAAAAGCCATCGACGTTACATTTAAGATTTTTCAAGCGATTCATGCTCAATATCCCAAGCATGCCGAACCTCTTTGGTTACTTCTTCAAATATGTGTATACGGTATAAAAACAAAGTGGGATAATAGTAAGCATATGCATAGTTTAACTTCCTTGATTAAAGATTTAAAGTGTGTTGATTAAACTAAAAATAAAATGCCTAATTGTTTTCAATGTAACGTTGGATCTTTCTTTCCATCCATTCAAGCTTTATGGATACATTATAAAATAACCCATAACATGTCCACTGCATCATCATTTATGTGTGCTGAACCTGATTGTTTATTTAAAAAAACCTTTTCTTCATGGTCTAGAATCCGAAAACACTACAAGTGTTATCACAAATTTTGTAATAATTTTGTCAATAATCTTCAAATAGAAAATAATGAACCTATTGGAATAGAACTCCCTGTTAATGATATTCAAAATGTCAATCATGAGCAACCAGAACCCATTGACAATGAAATTGATATAGTTAATGATCCAGTTGAGAATGAAAATCAACAGTTATTTCCTCAATTTTTGACACATGAAGCTTCTAAGTTGTTAGCGAAATTTTATAGTCGACCATCTTTTCCTCGAAGTCTGGTACAATTAATGGTTGATAATGTTGGTGATTTTATGAGTAGTTCTCTTCAACAATTTCGAAAGAAATGCGAAATAGTGTTAAACAATTCAACTCTTCAAGAAAACGAAAAAAATGAAATACATAAATTAATAGATGAATTTGATAATTCATTCTCTTCTCTTTCTTCAGAGTACTTAAGACTAAAATATTTTGAGAAATCCGGTCATCTTATTTCTGCAGTTGATTATAAAGTAGGAGAAAGAATTGAATATAAATTTAAAAATGGTAGAATTGTTCGAGAATCAGTAGATTGCATTGCAAAACATATTCCTATGCGATTAATCTTGAAAAAATTTCTAGAACTTCCGGGAAATTTTGAAATAATTTCAAACTATATGAACGAATTAAAACGCTCAGAAACAGAGATATGCAATTTTATTCAGGGAAATTTATGGAAAGAAAAATCGGCTATTTATGAATTAGAAAATAAAATAGTTCTGCCTATATTTTTAGGCATAGATGATTTTGAAATTAATAATCCCTTAGGATCGCACACAGGAGTTAGTGAAGTTGGATCAGTATATCTTTCAATGCCATTCTTACCCCCAGAATTTTATTCTCGATTGGAAAACATTTTTTTAATTGGTTTATATTATTCACGAGACAGACAATTACCAAATGGGAATTACCATATCTTTAAAATTATTGTAGAAGAGTTGAATTTTCTTGCACGAGAAGGGATATTAATTAATACTGCATCCGGTATTCAACGAGTATATTTTCTTCTTGGTTTAATTTTGGGAGATAATAAAGGGTTAAATGAAGTATTAGGGTTTTCTGGAAGCTTCAGTGCCAATTATTTTTGTCGCTTTTGTACAAGACATAAAAGTAATTGTGCAAAAGATATTTCTGAGCAATGTAATTTTTAAGAAATCCAGTAGATTATGAAAGAGATATTAATAATGGTTTTGACGTTTCTGGTGTTAAAGAAAAATCCATTTGGCTTGATGTAGATCACTTTCATCCTTATAAGAATTTTGCTGTTTGTACCCTACACGATTTTGATGAAGGAATCAGTTCTTATGCAATGCCGCTTATATGTCAGTATTTTATTTTAAAGCAAAAAATTTTCGATCTTGATTTTTTAAATGAGCGAATATTAGGATTTAACTATCAAGTAAACGGATTCTCAAATAAACCCTGCATTATAACAGTAGACAATTTAAAAAATCTTCAATTTCGTATGTCTGGCAACGAAATGAGAACATTCGTTTTATGTTTTCATTTTTAGTTGGTGATTATGTACCTTTCGACAATGATGTTTGGAAATATTATCTTGTATTGCGTCGATTAATTGAATTTATATCTTGCAGAATTTTTCCAAGAAATCGTGTGCTACAATTTCAAGAATTGATAAAAGAACATAATTACCTTTATCAAAAGCAATTTGGTTCACTAAAACCAAAAATGCATATTTTAAATCATTACTTTAAAATTTTAATTGAATCTGGACCATTCTCTTTTCTTAGTACTATACGTAATGAAGGGAAGCACAAAGAAGTTAAAGACAGTGCATCGGCTACAAGATCAAGAAAAAATGTAACACATACACTTGCTCTTAAACAACAATTACAATTATGTTACCGATTTCTATCTGAAGAAGGTTTAAAAACCGATCTTATGTCTGGGCGCTGTCAAATTCTTTACAATATAATGTTATTAGAAGGTTATCAATATTTTTCAAATACTTTACCTGGCTCTTTCATAAATAATGCGTGCGTTAGTGTAAAGTGGGTTACATTTAATGGTATAACGTATAGAGAAGAAATGTGTATAATTTTAGATTTATGCGATAATGGTATCCTACCAACATTTGGAATTATTAAGAAAATTTTATTTAATTCCAATGCAAATGAAGTATGTTTCATTTGTTTAAAATTATCAAATCTTGGTTTTGACTCAAATATGGGAGCTTATGAAATAGAATACGATTTGCAGTGGCAGTGTTGTTTAATTAATAACTTGTTAAGTCCATTTCCCGCAATAAAAGTAGTATTAAGCAATGGTAAAAAATATGTTGGTCTTCGGTGTTTAGTTTGAGTAATATATGTAATTTATAAATAAAGAGATTTAGAAATGTAAGTTCAGAAAGAATATAAATTGTTGACTTTCACATTTGAAAGTATATTTAAAAAGTTGTAATAAATTATCATTTTAAATTTTAACAATTTTTAATTTTATTCATAAACCACTCTTAATTATCACCCCCCACCCCTCAAATAATATTCAAGAATTTTGGTTTCTTTAAACAAACCGTTTGGTTGGTATAATCTAACGACACACAATACTGCTAACCCAACATACTGTTTAAAGGAACCGAACTCTACTAACCAAGTGAGTTCGGTTACTGTAAACTGTGCATTCGGTCAGTCCATAGTCAACCTACCAGTTCAGTTGACGTAACCGTAGTTTTGTTTCTTATGGCCAAACTCTTTTTTCCGTGTATACCTATCGCAATAAGAGAAGTAAAAAATCGTGATTTATAATCGTGCCATTTAACGTGATTTGAAGTTCAATTTGGGGCAAGATGATTTCACGAGTTTTATTTAAAAGTCAAATTAAAATCGTTTGATGTAATATATCATTCTAATGTGAAAATTGAAATCTATTTTTGTAGGTCGTGAGAAATATATTTATTTGTAGAATTAATAATTATTTACGATAATTATTAATTTAATTTACCTTAATTTAATTATTAATTTACCTAATTTTAAATAAAATAGTAGGAAATCCAGTAGAATATTTAAGTAGAATATTAAAATTCTAATAGAAGCTATTTAGAGGGTACTTTCTTAGAAATCTTTCCATGAGAGTTTAAAATAAGATTAAAAAAAAGTGCAGAAAATTCTTTTTTTATTACAATTTTATATTGTCCAATTCAGCAAAAGAGTACAAATATATATATATATTGTAATAAAGATAATATACGCTATTTAGATCGCGATTTTTTATGACACATAAATTGAATCACTTGACATAGATAGATAAACGAATTAATCATAATGCGATTTTATGTCGGTCGGATGCTGATTTACCTTTTATGCTGAATTTACTGAAATTGCGCGAGTCTTTTAAATATTGAAATATAAAATCTATCATAAAGCACGTAGCATTATAAATACTTAACCTAATTAATAATTTAATAAAGGAAACATAAAATAAAATTTAATATTTAATTTAAAAAGAATTCTCGGATATTTAGATTTTCCAAAATCGAAAATTCGCTCTCAATAAGAAAAGAATCGGTTTAATCGAAATGTCTAGGCTAGTTCAAATTTTTTACTTATTTTTGACGTAAATTGCGTCTCGACGCTTAATGCTTGTATTAAATTACCGCATGCAGCGAATCTAACTTAACTTTAATTTGATTTCGAGAATAAAAATTACAGAAACGCAAAATGAACGTGTATAGAAAAGAGTATAAAATGAAAATAGTCTAATATTTAAAAGTTAACTAATCTTAATAGCGAAATTTTAATATTTTCTTGTGAAAGTATTTAATAACTTTACTAAATGATTTCTATTTCGTTATAAGGGGCGCCCCTTAATCTACGGAAGATCAGCACCTGTGAACATATTTATAGCAAAACATAATGCGCTGAAATATATATATATGTTTATATATATGTATACACTCTGAGTGGTGAATTTTTTTTTATTTTTTAAAGTATCTACCTTTGTGTGCAATGTGCATACAAGACACATGCATAAATGCTATATAAACTATAAACCGGTACTGCGCGCTTTAAAAGAGCCCAAGAGAGTATAAGGCTTACACGATCTCTGATAATCGGTTTAAAGAGGCTCGTAAGCCCGGGCTCTTGCAACTCCTTGTCAAATGGGCTGCTATAACGTCTAGTTAACCAGGAACGTAATTATTAGTTCAGGTTCCTCACCAAGAGAAAATTTTAAAAAAAGCAACTACCCGTTATTAATTATTTATTCCATTATTTTAAATGAAATTTTCCCTCGGAAAATGCTACTCTAACACGTTTTAATTTGATGTCCATTGCACGCTAAAATGGTGGAAAAGTGACGAGAAGGGGTCACACGATTTTATCGTTGAAACTCGATCTTTTTAATGTTTGATTGATTAAAAAGTGGAGAAAAAAATTGTAAATAGAATACTAATGATAGTAATGTTGATGGTAATGATAAAAATGCAAGAATGTAAGATCTTTTATTTAAATAATAATTATATTAATTGAAATAATAATACATAAAAAAAGTGAAATAAATTTTAATAGACTTTCAAAGTAAAATTTAAATAGTCTGAAATTACTGCACAACAAATTACACTACTTTCTGTATTTTAACTGATTCCAAAGTGAATTTCAATAAAAATTAGGATTTAGCAAAATTTACTGTTTGAGGAATACATTTTGATACGTTAAAGTACATTTTACTAATTTTTACTAAAAGTTATACTAGTAAAATTTTACTTATATAGTAAAATTTACTCCGAAATTAGTAAAAAATGTCTATCAGTTTAGATTATACTACATAAAAGTAAATGAAATTATTTTGAAATTAAGAACAAATACTTCACATCTATTTAAAAAAATGTATTACTTCATAAGAATAGTATTAATATTTAACTCTACTATTCATAAAATAAGAATACTCTTGATATTTAGTATAATTTACTTACTTAAAAAATAATTACTAAATACTAACAATAATATTCTTATCATAAGAATAGAATAATGCTAAATATAAGTATAATATATTTTCTAAAACAAGTACTAAGTAATATATATTTTTAATTTTAGAATAAATTTTCTTCAAGTGTAAAAGGAAAATAATTTGTTTTTACCGTGAAACAATATTAAAAATAATAATAGTAATAACTACAATGATAATGATCCGATAACAAATTATGAAAGAATTAATTTTCAGACTCTAAATTAAAATAAATAAAACATAATCTTTAAAAAAAGGGTAAAAATCATAATTCAAAAAACTAGCGAGATTTTCATCGAAATTGAATCGGTCTACTATTGGTGAGGAACGAACCTGATGACCGACGTTGCTCGGGTTCGGTGATCGAGGAGTGAACTCGGATGAACTATAGCGAGAGGGAGAGAGTGAAGAGAGAAAAGGAGAGCCAGTTAGTACGTTTCATATGATTTGAGTGTGAGAGAGAGAAAAAGAAGAGGGATGAGGGGGGATTTCGAAAGGGGGGGTTTGGGTGGGGGAGGAGGCAAGTCGTAAGCGAATGGAAGAGAGAAAGAGAGTGTGTAAGAGAAAGAGAGAAAAAGAGTGATGGATCGAAAGGAGAAGAGGGAGAGAGGCGTGTGGGTGAGGGTGAGTATGAGTCGAGCTGCTGTCGGGTCATCGCCGGGTCAATGTCGCCAGAGTAATTACCTCCCCCCTCTTCCCACCTCTAACAACCAGCCGCGGTCCTCTCACTCACTCCCAATACCATCACTCCCTCTCGCCCTCTTGCCCACTCGTTTTCCTCTCATCATCATCCGCGCCTTCTCTCGAATCGGTCCCCCTAATACTTCTCTATATTTTTTTATTTTTATTATTTCTTCTATGATTATTAATTTGACCACTATCATATTATTACAGCCATACATAAGTACAATAAATAATATGTAAACTGGTAAAATTTATAATTATCTTATTAATTTTATTATTACTCATTTTTATTATTTTATTTAACTGAAATTTATTTTAATATAACTAATTGAATATTAAGTAAACCACACTGTGAATCATGAATCTTACTTTCACTTTTCATTAAAACCATTTACATTAGAATCATTTTTGACTGAATTTTAGCCTTAAGAGACTAAGAGTATGATTTTAAGTTTTAAAATTGAGTTAATCCTTAAA